CGACTTATCGCGTCCAGTCTAGACGCGATAAGTCAAACCCAGAAGTTCGATTTCCAGCCGTCGAACTAGCGGGTAAGTGTAGCCAAGGCCTTACGAATCTGGGCTAAGCTCAGGCCACTAGGATTACGTATCTGTAATGTGGCCAGGTGATTTTTAAACCTGAATCCCTGGAGGGAGCAGGATACATCACCTTCAGTACGTTTTTTAATTACAGTTGACGGAAAAATCTTGTGCCATTAAAGATGGAATTTATTATATGGACATCCAAACACCAAAGTAACCTAATTCCTTCAATCCACTTTCTGCTGTCTCATCACATACCCAGTGGGAATGTGGCAAGACATTACCTGTCTAGGCAAGTCTAGTTGTACCTAGGCTCAAGCAGACCAGATGTGAGCAGACAGAGTGCTTAAGGAACAATTCCCCTTTACCAAAAGAGCTTTTGAAATCAGCTCCCCAAGCTCACCCCCCTCATGTGAAAACAAGCGTTAAGAGGATAGGATGCATTCTGCATTGTAAGACATTAGGAGGAGCTGTCAGTGTTTCACTGGATGGCAAAGACATTGTAATCCTTTTGTGGAGATAAGTGGCTTATTGAAAATGCTGGAGAGAAAGTACTGTATGTGGTGCAGACAGAGAGAGAACCAGACATGTATGTTATAAATAAGAAGCAACCTGAACAAAGATAGAGGACGACCAGCACTCCAAAGGGAACAGCTGTGCCTAGATATGATAGAATGTCTCTATCTCTAGCCCTGCAGTTGGTACTTGCTCACTAAAAATATTTTTGGTGGACAGGTACCAGTGATCATTGCAAAGGGCAGGAAAGTAACCTAACAACCTTGCAAGGCTGTGAAGCAAAGAGCTGAGTTGTTGAGCACTGCTCGGCAGGGTCTGGAGACCTCACAAGGCTGATAGGCTTGTGTTGGAAATACAAAATTAACCCCCCTTGGGAGGCCGACAGGCAGAAGATATGCACTAGGGACCAATTTTAATCCCTGCCCTGAGTACAAGTGACTGGCCTGGGTTATGAACATCTCCCCTTCCCTGCCTGTGGTGTAGCAGTAGCTACTCCTCCAACATCAGTGCTGGGGAAGACTGGGAAATCCTAACCTCCCATTCTTTCAGCGGTCGTAGCTGGTGGACCTGTACACGACTGCTGCACACTCCAGTAATGGTCAACCCAATGGCTAGCTCCCAGAATGTGCCTGCATTCAAATCCCCCCTGCATCCAGATTGGTGATGGGGAGGGAAGGATGGAATTTGGCTCCTAACCTTCTGCCTTTAAATTTAACAGATTCCTGTTCTAAATTTTATATTCTGGGAGAAATAAGCTTCCCAGCGCAATTCTTCCTTTTTCAAGAAATAGAAGCCCACTGAAATCCGAGCGGTGAAATTCAGGTTTGGAAAAAAGAATTAAAACCAACTTAAAGCCAAAGTTTGGTATACTTAGGTCCCCCTGTGCTGCTTGGGACTCATCTCTCCCGGACAAGTTAAATTCTCAGACATTTCAAACTAGCCATGAAAACAATCAAGTTATTTACGACAGAGTGGCCACTGGAAGATCCCTGCTAGAAAAAAGCTGGATCCAAACACAATCTCCAGAACTGAAATTCACAGCTGTTTAGAGGGCCAGCAGGAGGCCTGCACACCACTTATGTCCTCAAAATAAAGCTGGAGTGGTGCCAGGCTTCAGGTTAGGCCTCAGCACAAGGGTGCATTTCACCCTTAAATGCATTAAAAAGCCCCAGTAAGAGATAAATAAGGACACTCACTAACTGTTTGAAGATGATCAGAGAATTCCTAGTGCAACACATGCATGTCAGGGAGTCCTTTGTAAGTTGTTCCTAGGGTTGCTAAGAAAGAGAATTTATTTTCCTTAATTTAAAAAAAAAAAAAAGCCCAAATGGGGGAAAGGCTCCCCATATGCAGCCCAAGGCAAACACAAGCATTGCAGTGTTTCTCAAAGGATGTCCTTAGCAAATCAAATATTCATGTCATCTTGTTTCTCCGTGTGTGTTTTTATTACTAACAGATTTTCAGCTGATAACATACCACGTAATAAATTATTTAACCTAACTTACTAACTTCTACTACTTAATTTTTCCATTACACTAACATACTTCTGATGTTTATGAACAGAGTACTTTAGCCTTCCTCTGCATTTGGGTTGCTACCTACTAAAAGGAAGCTCTCTGTTGTCTCTAGGAGGCAGAGGTGGGACTAACCCAGCTCGGAGTGTGGTGCAGTTGCTAATCTGTCCTTTCAGGTTCTTGCCTGGAATGAAAATGACGGAAGCTTCTCTCTCCAGGAGCTTATTAGCCCCAGTACAAATGGAAGATAAACAATGAAGAGCCATACAGATCCGTGATTAGAGGCAGGACTCCCAGGTTCTAGTCCCATTCCATCCATCCTTTATATAGATTTGGTCTGTTTTCACTGTGAACCACTGGGGCAGGGACCTCTTAGGGGTTTAAACTACCAAGCATGTTTCTGGCACTACATTAATAGTGCCACCACCACCATAATAAATCCCTCTTTCCGTCTCCTGATATGTGCCATGAGACTAGCAATTATCTTTGTACCTCACAGGAGGCTTGTGACGCTTAATTAACTCATGTCTTTAAATGCTTTGTGCTCTCAAAGAGCAATTTATTTAATTCAAATGTTAGTGAATCGTTACTACTGTATATAGTTATTATTATTTATTTGTACTGCAGCAGTGCCCAGATGCCCAGAGCCCCATTGTGTTGGTACTACACAGA